TTTTAATTTGTAAGTTGATTTCTTTGCTTAACTTTCTTATCTCTTCTTTGTTGCTTTTCCTGTTTTCTAATAAGCACTTCCTTTGAGCGATCAAGTTTCTGGCTTCCGGACCTATTTTATCTTTTTGTTCATTGCTTGTTATACATATCTTGTTAGCTATTTTTAATTCCTTTTCAAGCTGGTCGTATTTCTTTTGAAGATCGATTGGTTTCTTTATTGTTTCTAAATTTGTCTCTAGCTGATGTAATATGTCTTTTTTGATTGGTAATATTATTGGTTTTATGTTATGATGGTTTGTTCTACGTATTTTTGGTTCTACTAGGTATATTTGTCCTCTAAGCATTCTGTGATCTGTATTGTAGTTAAATTTGTTAATGACGTCGACATTAAAAAATATTTTTGGTTTATTTGTAAGGATGTAGTCTATTTCGTTTCTTGTCCTGCCATCTGGTGATATCCATGTCCACTTTCTGTTATGTTTTCTTTTATAGTAAGTATTCATAATGTGGAGGTTGTTCTCTAACGCGAAGTTTATAAGTCTATGTCCGTTGTCATTCCTCTTTCCAGTTGAATATGGTCCTATTACTTGGTCTTCATTCTTATTTCTTTTTCCGATTTGACTATTAAAGTCTCCTATTATGATAACAGTTTTATTTAACATTGACATAACTTTGTTGAGCTCATTGTAGAATTCGTCCTTTATCTCTTTCTGAGTAACCTCTGTTGGAGCATATATTTGAACTATAGAAACGGGCTGATTGAAACCAGAAAGCTTTATATTTAAAATGGCGATCCTGTCTGATATTCCTCGGAACTCTATTATATCATTTTTTAAATATTTTTTAACAAAAAACCCTACTCCGTATCTACCAGTCTTTTTATTAAAATGGTATAGTATATAATTGTTCCGTTCTTCCGTTTTTTCGCCTTCTCTTCTCACGTCGCATACACCTAATATGTCCCAATTAACAGTTTCTAATGCTAGTTCTAATTCTAATAAGGATTCTTGTGATTTCATTGATCTTGTGTTAATAGTAGATATGTTGAATTTATTTCTTAATCTTTGTTTTGGATTTTCTTGTTTTTGTTTTTTTGATAGCTCAGTGGGATTGTTTTGCTTGAGTTTGAGCATTTGGGGGTGTTGGTCTATCTCCCCTCGGGGACCAGCCGTATTGGGGATTTCTTTAGTTGTAGTTATTGGTGTTTGTTTATTAGTGTTTATTCTCTCGGGTCCGGTG